GGTAGTAGTAGTAGTAGCAGTAGCAGTAGCACCAGCAAATGTAGTAGTTGTTGTGGTAGTGATGGTGGCGGCGGTAATGACARGGATTTGTAGTCGACAAGCTTTGTTAAGAATATGATAATGGCTTGAAATATATGTCAATAATTATCCTAACTCATTCGTTTTATAACTGAGGTCATTTGAAATAAAGTGCACTTTTCAATTTCAATATGCAAACTCAACAGCTAAACCTTTGGGCTAAATATTTCTTTCCTAGGTTACCGCGTTGCTAAGAAAMGTTCTAACTCAGTACTTGCGCTCATCTTTTACATTAAAACTCGTTCAGATGTTTTGATGGTTGGTCCAAGAGTTTTAGCCGGGTTMCAATCACTAGATTATTCCATAGTGCAATTCCTCTTCGTTCACACTTGTCCGAACGACACAAGTTTCAGTGGCACGGGTCAGCAATTCCYTTCACTAACGTAGGGAGGGGGCACGCTGGCACACATGGGCACGGGAACCAAGGTGCAAGGAGACACAGGCTCAYTGAGATAATGGGTACACGCTAAGGGCAGAAATGCAGTTTACATAGTTTGGTGCGTTATTTATTTATAGACAACAAGGTATCTCCTGTGTATGGTCCCCTGTGTTTCTAGTAARTCACCTCCCCACATCTCCTCACCCCTTACACCTAAAGCAGCTTTCATGGTTTAGGGCGTTATTTACTTATTGACATGAAGGTATTATAGCTATCTATCTCGGCTAGACCTTGTGGTTATTGTAGATAGCCTGTACCTTTATTTAGGTTTTAATACATTGTATTTATTTTCACTTGTGAGAATTATATAGCACAGATACTGAATAAACACGATTGTTGTTGTTGTTGTTGTTGTTGTATCTCCTGTGTATGGTCTCCTGTGTTTCTAGTAAGTCACCTCGCCACACCTCCCCACCCCTTACATCTAATCAGTTACTACTCTTATAACACAGAGAGCTATAGTATACGTTCGTCATACTCTACTCTGATTGGTCAAGGGCGGATCCAGGATTTTTTTGAAGGGGGGAGGGGGGTTGGGGTCTGGATCCGGCCGCTTCTATTTGACATCAAAGTTTTCAATGAATTTCATGACTTTCAGAGGACATTACTGAATCTTTCAGTGAAAAATTTGGAATATCTGTCTAATTTAAGTTTTGAGAGATTTTTTAAGCAAGACAACGTGATTTACGAAGGAGAAATTCATCAAGAAAAAAGTTGAATAATCTAGGGAGCATCGCACTAAAGAAATGTATGGCTGTTACACATTTCAACCCCCTCATGAGTTTCAGGGGATTTTGCGGAACGCGCGCAAAGGATCGTTGTAGTTGATCAGGCGGTCCTAGTTTCAGTRTTTATCGGCAAACAGAGAGCTATCATTTCACGATATATTCATAAAAGAATAGAMCTATCCCSAATTCGCTTGAGTGATCACTATAAACAATGGTTTTAAGTCGAGGTTGAACTTGATGAATAAAAGAATCAAGTTCAGTCTCGACTTCAAACATGGTCATCCAAGCGAATTCGGGAAAAGGTCTATTGAAAAACAATGCACCATTTGACTCATAGGTAGTCGTTATAAGAATAGGTAAAATTTTAAATGCATTGCGAGTCCATAACGTAGCTAGGGAAGCAAAGATTCA